ATACCCACATCCACATACACACATATACACACATACACACACACACACATACACACACACATACACATACACACATACACATACACACATACACAAATACATACAAACATACACACACACATACACATACACACATACACACATACACACACACATATACATACACATACACACACATTTATGGCCTCTTTCAGTGCGCAACATTTTCATTTACAAAACATACACTTTCACAGCTTTTCTTTTGGTAATTCTCAAAACAGTCCTTGCAGTGAACAGGGTCTCAGTGTGTCCTTTAGCAAGGGAAGACGCTGAGGCCGAGTTCGGAGGTGACTCCCAAGTCAACCATGGATTCAGTCCTTCCTTCTAATGGTGGGAGCTCAGTGCCACCAGAGCCAACATTTACAGAGAAATGTCTTATCTGTCCAGCACTGTCTTGTTGGAAAGCCCTGTGTCGGTGTGTAGTGGCCATGAACTCTCCTTTAGCACGTGTCCTACAAGCTCGAGTGTGCATCCCAGTCCCTGGGACCCTGAGCAGTCTCTCCTAAAGGCTGGGCTCCAGACAGTCTTCTAAGCAGAGCCTACACTGGCAAAACCCCAGAAGCTGCCTTAGTTACCCACAGGAGAGGATAAAGGTCAGGCGGCTCATCATTCTTCTCTACAGTGGAATATTACACAGCCTTTAAAAACACATACTGTAAAAAGTGTCAATGATAAGCTCGTGCTTCTGCCAGACCATCGATTTGAAAGAGTTAAATACAAAATTACTGTTCATGTTTCTCACACCTACAGCTTACACAGACACCCACCATTGATATGAAAACTACGAGAAAAGGAATAAGAAAAGAATATCAAGCCCCAAATGCAATCTGCTGAAAGGCAGGTTGGGGGTTGTAGCAACGACCAGGGCCAGGGATGAACACTTCTCTAAGAATGATCTGGAAACAACGGCAGTCGCTGAAGAAGGCCATATGGTGGGATTCTGGGCAGCTATTACTTTCTCATACTTTTCTTTTACTTTTCTTATACTTTCTTATGTGTTTAATCTTCTGTATTTTGCAACAATTATATGCTGCTTTTCTGATAAAAAATGTGTTTTTAAAAAATTCTCTTGTCCAGCAATCAAAGTCATTTCCCCACGTGACTGAGTGTCAGCTCACTGCCTAGAGCCAGGGTGACCCTTCGGTTATCATGTGGAGTCCTCTGGGCCACAGCTAGGCTGGGTTTTCCCCATGGAGATGCCCGAGTCTGGGCATGTGCCATGCCTGCCTCCAGGTCCTCAGACACAGCGGCCTGGGGTCCTTCCTCTTCTCCTACTACCCACGGCTCAAAGTGCTTCTAGGAGCAGACAGCAATCAACATCGTAGATGTCCCCATCAGGGTCCCCTTGTGACCCACAAGGTCAGTGCTGTGAAGAGCACTGGCCTCCTAGAGCCGCCATCTTGGCTCCTCCACCAAATCCCGCTCAGGAAGCCTTGGCCAACGCCCCTCACAGGGACTGCTGGAGCTAGAGCACCCGGAAACAGCTGCTTCCAGGGCGAGCCTATCTCAGAACAGATCAGCCATCCAGTAAGGTGGGCGCGTGCCAGCAAAGACCGCTGGGTCAACACTGAGCAAGGCAGAAACCTCGGCTGTGCCCAGCCTCTGGGTCACAGAGGGCCTGGGGCTTCCTAACTGCAACCCAGGAGTTGGCTGGGGCCCAGGAGGAGACTAGGACGTGACTGTCTCAGGAGGAGAGGCCACATGCAAAGGCCCAGAGGCAGGGACCCACCTGCAGGGTGGGGTTTCTAGGATGCAAATTTAAAATGGAGATAATGACCAGGGACAAGATAGAGAGTTCTGGAAAGTGAACCATGGCTGGCCTCGTGGCCAGATTCAGGACCTGGAGCTCAGACGTCCATGCCGGGCAGCCACGATGCATGGAGTGGGATGGGGGCTCAGTGGTCCTTCCTGCCCTCGGTGCTATGGTGGCTTTCTAACAAGTCGGACTCCACTGAGAAGTCTCTCCTTGACGTTCCCTTATGACCTGCCACACGTTTTCTGAGCAAACCTCTTCTCCATCTGCGCCCAGCTCTCATGCATCAGGAGAGAACATGACTGACCAAGCGGATCCCAAGATTTCATCAGGAAGGGAGGCCACAGACACTTGAGAAGGCCTGCGCCAGGACATCTCTTTCCTTTCTCTGTAGCTGGAGGGGGGGGTGCCCGGGGTGCGGCGGGCGCCACTCACCACAGGTTGACCAGGAACGGGTGCTCCAGCCCCTGCATGACCTGCAGCTCGCGGAAGACATTGCGCACCTCGTCCCTCTCGATGCACTTCTGCTTGTTCATGTACTTCATGGCGTACATCTTCTTCGTGTCTCGCTTCTGCACGATGCACACCTGGGCAATGGGCAAAGGAGAGCGCTCAGGCCCACGTTTAAGGAAAACCAGGAGCCGTGGGATCAAGTCCGCTGGCAGAGCAGCTCCAGCAAACTGCACCCAGTCCCCAAGGGCAGTTGGAACCCTAGGTTCCTGGCCCTGTCTAGGTGCTAGGGAGGTGGCCTTGGGGTCAAGAGACAGAGGGAGCAGCTCACAGCCCCGGAGGAGGCCAGAGGGAGAGCCACTGACCGCAGCCCTATCTGTGCCCGGCTGACTCCTGTTGCCCTTCCCACATGGCGCCCACCGCCCGACTTCCACACCCCAGCCCTGCACTTCTTCGCCCATGGACTGTCTTTTGTGGGCAGAGCTCCCATTTGCAGCCCATAAGACAGACCAGAAAAGCCAGGGAATTGGGGAATTCAGTCCGTGGCTGATGGGATGGGAGTACCAACACCCCAGCTCCCCTGCAGGGTGGGTGGGACAAGTCTGAGCTGCTGTTGGCACTGCCCTGAGTCTGGGACAGACTCCCCTCACAGCCCCCTCTCTCTGCCCTCCCTGCTCCCTGGGATCCCTTTGCTCTCCAGGGCCCTGCACTCAAATCCTTCCTCCGGCCGCCTCTTGAAATCCAGCCACAGCCCCAGGCTCTGAGCAAGGACGACACCCACGTGGTGCACCATCACTGCAGGCCGGGTGCTGTCACCTCCGTTCCCCCTGTAAGCCCCCCAAGAACCACAGGGATAAAGCCTCCCTCCCCATCCACAGGAGGAGGCACAGCCTGCGAGCAGGCGTCGACCCACCAGGCCCAACAAGCCACTGCACACTGCGCCCGGCTCAGACCCATGGCCTCTGACTTTGAGTGACTCCCTAAACCAAGGGCAGAGGTGGCTTCCCCAGGGATCAGTGCAGAGGGTGAATGTGGAGGAAGGGAAGAGGGTGGGGCCAGGGGCGTCCTCTAGACAAAGGGATGGTGTCAAGGAGGGCAGGAGCCCAGGGAGACGCCGTGAGCTGCATGGTTGGCAACATGCGCAGGGCTGGCGGGCATGGACGAGAGTGACCAAGACGGCGGGGTCAGATGTCCCCAGAAGCCCGGGGAAGCAGCTGCTGCCTTCCTCAGCGGCTCTAACATACCCACAAGCCAGGCAGCCTGCATGGCAGGAACGTACTGTCTTTCCCGTAGGAGACCAGAAGCCCAGGGTCAAGGTGTGGGCGGCCCGGTGCTCATGGGGAGGATTCCCTGGCCTCACCCAGCACTCGCCACTGTCCCTGGCTCTCTCTGGTTTGCACTGGAGTGCTTCAAGCCCTGCCCCCCTCTTTGCTGGGCCTCCTCCCATGTGCGTCTGCCTCTGTTCCCAGACATCTTGTAAGGACACGAGCCACAGTGGGTGTGCGCCCACTTAATCCAGTATGGCCTACCTTGAGCAATCACATCTATACCTGACTCTTCTCTTCCCTGGACCTCAGCCACCTTCAGTCAACTGTAGTCTGAACATATTAAATGCAAAGTTCCAGAGATAAATTACTCATAGAACCTAAGTTGCATTCTAAGTAGTGTGATGACATTTCACCTCAGCGCCATGGTGGCTTCTAACAAGTCGGACTCCACTGAGAAGTCTCTCCTTGACATTCTCTCATAACATGCCACACGTTTTCTCAGATAGATGAACCTCTTCTCCATCTCCCAGGACGTCATCATCCCTTTGACCACGGTATCCATGCTGTATATGCTCTTTCCCACAGTCACTTAGTGTCCCTCTTGGTGATCCGATTGATGGGTGCACTACTGCAGTGTTGTGTCCAGGTGACCCTTACATGGCAGCCTATAGCTACCTCATGGTGCCTACACCTCCATCCATCCCATCATGCAGGCATTGGACGATCAGGTCATCACAAGAAGGATGTGAGAGTAAAATAACGTACTTAGAGAGAAAAGTTTATAAATTAAACAAGTCTGTTTATGTAAGAATAAATAATATACATAGGATTTGTTCCATCTCAGAAGCATCGATATGCAGGATCATAGATATGCAGGATCCCTGGGCTTCCAAATAAGGCCACAGTCCGAGGTTCCAGGAGGACATGACTGTGGGACACTATTCTGCCCAGGGCAGTTACCACTGCTGTCTCCATGGACAAAGGAAAGGGAGGCACAAAGGCTTCCAGACCTTCCTCCAGGCTCCAGACTCAAGCCCAGCTGTCCGGTTCCCCAGCTGCCCTCCGTCCACCACCCCCTAGAGAACAAGGCAGGTGGAGGGACACTAGCAATAAGACAGTGGGCACCTGGCTAGGAGCCCGGGCTTCCTCCGGGCACTGGGTTGCTCTTCTGTTGGAAAGTGAGCCCCTCCCAGCTCAGATGTGCGTAGTTTACTCGTGGAAGAGGAGGACGGCTGGGAAAGCCAGCTCTGGTCCCCCGAGCCTCAGCCTCTGCCTGGGGGGAGCTGAGTGGGCAAAACCCACGCTGCCCACTGGGCAAAACTGGAGGAGGCCAAGGAGGTGGGGGCTGGCAGTACAAGGGGGACGAGGGACGTCAACTGCAGCTAGACGTGTTCACCGACAGGCGTCACGGGACCTCCAGGCAGTCAACCAGGCGGCATGAGGCTGAACGTCCTGGGGCTCCCATTTCTAGAGAACTTGAAAATACAAAATGCAGGGAGAAGAAGGTTCCTGGAATGGAGCGGAAGTCCAGATCCAGCCCGCGTCTGAAGGCAGAGGTGGCGGAACTGCCAAACTGGACTCCTCACCCCTGCACCCCTGTTCTCCCTGGCGACTCAGAAGAGGAGCTCAGCTGATGCTCAGAGGCTCGCCAAGCTGTAGAGGGAGGCTGCATTCGGAGTCAGTGGTCCCAGGGGACACTGGAGACATTCCTCAGTGGTCACCAAGGCCCTCAGGGGACACTGGTGATACTCAGTGGTCACCAAAACCCTCAGGGGACACTGGTGATACTCAGTGGTCACCAAGGCCCTCAGGGGACACTGGTGATACTCAGTGGTCACCAAGGCCCTCAGGGGACACTGG